GGCTGTTGCAGTGTGGAGACAGCCCCTGCCAGCACCTCCATTCCCAGTAGGCCTCAGCAGAGGCCTAGGCCCAGGGAAAGGCCCAGGCAGGGCTGCGTTGAGGGAGGCGCAAGGGCATGTCTGGACACACTCCCCACAGCCTGTTCCTTCATGGGGCAGTTACCCTGGAGGCCAGGAAGGCCTGGGCAAGGCTGGCCAAGAGCAGGGGCATTGCTGGGTTCTGCCTCTGGCCTGTGGGGCCTCTGAGCAGGACCTGCCCTCTCCCTCTGGAAGACTTCCCCGCCTGCGTGCAAATCCCCGTTTGCAAGCACTCTGGCCGGGTGTTCCCGCAAGGCTCGCACTCTGGTCTCAAAGCCGGGAGAAAAGCGCTTTGGGGTGGGCCTCTCTCAGGGCCCATGGCCCTGAGCCTGGGGACCAGCTAGGGGGTCCACACTCCCAGGCCAGGGCAGAACCACATGCACACGTCTGTTCCTGCCCCCTGCCCCTTCAGAGAGCTCGGCTGAGCCGCAGTCTCTCAGGCAGTTCCCTGGCAGCCCCGGCAGCACTGCCTGTGTGGGAAGCGGGAGAGCCGACCTAGGTGCACTGTGGGCCCCTTGCTCTCCCTGCTGCCCTGAGGCTGCTGGGCCAAAGAGGGCTTGGCTATCTACCCCCTTTCTCCCCTCTTCCCTCTGCCAGAAGGCTCTGCCCCCGGGGCTGTTGCAGTGTGGAGACAGCCCCTGCCAGCACCTCCACTCCCAGTAGGCCTCAGCAGAGGCCTAGGCCCAGGGAAAGGCCCAGGCAGGGCTGCGTTGAGGGAGGCGCAAGGGCATGTCTGGACACACTCCCCACAGCCTGTTCCTTCATGGGGCAGTTACCCTGGAGGCCAGGAAGGCCTGGGCAAGGCTGGCCAAGAGCAGGGGCATTGCTGGGTTCTGCCTCTGGCCTGTGGGGCCTCTGAGCAGGACCTGCCCTCTCCCTCTGGAAGACCTCCCCGCCTGCGTGCAAATCCCCGTTTGCAAGCACTCTGGCCGGGTGTTCCCGCAAGGCTCGCACTCTGGTCTCAAAGCCGGGAGAAAAGCGCTTTGGGGTGGGCCTCTCTCAGGGCCCATGGCCCTGAGCCTGGGGACCAGCTAGGGGGTCCACACTCCCAGGCCAGGGCAGAACCACATGCACACGTCTGTTCCTGCCCCCTGCCCCTTCAGAGAGCTCGGCTGAGATGCAGCCTCTCAGGCAGTTCCCTGGCAGCCCCGGCAGCACTGCCTGTGTGGGAAGCGGGAGAGCCGACCTAGGTGCACTGTGGGCCCCTTGCTCTCCCTGCTGCCCTGAGGCTGCTGGGCCAAAGAGGGCTTGGCTATCTACCCCCTTTCTCCCCTCTTCCCTCTGCCAGAAGGCTCTGCCCCCGGGGCTGTTGCAGTGTGGAGACAGCCCCTGCCAGCACCTCCACTCCCAGTAGGCCTCAGCAGAGGCCTAGGCCCAGGGAAAGGCCCAGGCAGGGCTGCGTTGAGGGAGGCGCAAGGGCATGTCTGGACACACTCCCCACAGCCTGTTCCTTCATGGGGCAGTTACCCTGGAGGCCAGGAAGGCCTGGGCAAGGCTGGCCAAGAGCAGGGGCATTGCTGGGTTCTGCCTCTGGCCTGTGGGGCCTCTGAGCAGGACCTGCCCTCTCCCTCTGGAAGACCTCCCCGCCTGCGTGCAAATCCCCGTTTGCAAGCACTCTGGCCGGGTGTTCCCGCAAGGCTCGCACTCTGGTCTCAAAGCCGGGAGAAAAGCGCTTTGGGGTGGGCCTCTCTCAGGGCCCATGGCCCTGAGCCTGGGGACCAGCTAGGGGGTCCACACTCCCAGGCCAGGGCAGAACCCCATGCACACGGCTGTTCCTGCCCCCTGCCCCTTCAGAGAGCTCGGCTGAGCCGCAGTCTCTCAGGCAGTTCCCTGGCAGCCCCGGCAGCACTGCCTGTGTGGGAAGCGGGAGAGCCGACCTAGGTGCACTGTGGGCCCCTTGCTCTCCCTGCTGCCCTGAGGCTGCTGGGCCAAAGAGGGCTTGGCTATCTACCCCCTTTCTCCCCTCTTCCCTCTGCCAGAAGGCTCTGCCCCCGGGGCTGTTGCAGTGTGGAGACAGCCCCTGCCAGCACCTCCATTCCCAGTAGGCCTCAGCAGAGGCCTAGGCCCAGGGAAAGGCCCAGGCAGGGCTGCGTTGAGGGAGGCGCAAGGGCATGTCTGGACACACTCCCCACAGCCTGTTCCTTCATGGGGCAGTTACCCTGGAGGCCAGGAAGGCCTGGGCAAGGCTGGCCAAGAGCAGGGGCATTGCTGGGTTCTGCCTCTGGCCTGTGGGGCCTCTGAGCAGGACCTGCCCTCTCCCTCTGGAAGACTTCCCCGCCTGCGTGCAAATCCCCGTTTGCAAGCACTCTGGCCGGGTGTTCCCGCAAGGCTCGCACTCTGGTCTCAAAGCCGGGAGAAAAGCGCTTTGGGGTGGGCCTCTCTCAGGGCCCATGGCCCTGAGCCTGGGGACCAGCTAGGGGGTCCACACTCCCAGGCCAGGGCAGAACCACATGCACACGTCTGTTCCTGCCCCCTGCCCCTTCAGAGAGCTCGGCTGAGCCGCAGTCTCTCAGGCAGTTCCCTGGCAGCCCCGGCAGCACTGCCTGTGTGGGAAGCGGGAGAGCCGACCTAGGTGCACTGTGGGCCCCTTGCTCTCCCTGCTGCCCTGAGGCTGCTGGGCCAAAGAGGGCTTGGCTATCTACCCCCTTTCTCCCCTCTTCCCTCTGCCAGAAGGCTCTGCCCCCGGGGCTGTTGCAGTGTGGAGACAGCCCCTGGCAGCACCTCCACTCCCAGTAGGCCTCAGCAGAGGCCTAGGCCCAGGGAAAGGCCCAGGCAGGGCTGCGTTGAGGGAGGCGCAAGGGCATGTCTGGACACACTCCCCACAGCCTGTTCCTTCATGGGGCAGTTACCCTGGAGGCCAGGAAGGCCTGGGCAAGGCTGGCCAAGAGCAGGGGCATTGCTGGGTTCTGCCTCTGGCCTGTGGGGCCTCTGAGCAGGACCTGCCCTCTCCCTCTGGAAGACCTCCCCGCCTGCGTGCAAATCCCCGTTTGCAAGCACTCTGGCCGGGTGTTCCCGCAAGGCTCGCACTCTGGTCTCAAAGCCGGGAGAAAAGCGCTTTGGGGTGGGCCTCTCTCAGGGCCCATGGCCCTGAGCCTGGGGACCAGCTAGGGGGTCCACACTCCCAGGCCAGGGCAGAACCACATGCACACGTCTGTTCCTGCCCCCTGCCCCTTCAGAGAGCTCGGCTGAGATGCAGCCTCTCAGGCAGTTCCCTGGCAGCCCCGGCAGCACTGCCTGTGTGGGAAGCGGGAGAGCCGACCTAGGTGCACTGTGGGCCCCTTGCTCTCCCTGCTGCCCTGAGGCTGCTGGGCCAAAGAGGGCTTGGCTATCTACCCCCTTTCTCCCCTCTTCCCTCTGCCAGAAGGCTCTGCCCCCGGGGCTGTTGCAGTGTGGAGACAGCCCCTGCCAGCACCTCCACTCCCAGTAGGCCTCAGCAGAGGCCTAGGCCCAGGGAAAGGCCCAGGCAGGGCTGCGTTGAGGGAGGCGCAAGGGCATGTCTGGACACACTCCCCACAGCCTGTTCCTTCATGGGGCAGTTACCCTGGAGGCCAGGAAGGCCTGGGCAAGGCTGGCCAAGAGCAGGGGCATTGCTGGGTTCTGCCTCTGGCCTGTGGGGCCTCTGAGCAGGACCTGCCCTCTCCCTCTGGAAGACCTCCCCGCCTGCGTGAAAATCCCCGTTTGCAAGCACTCTGGCCGGGTGTTCCCGCAAGGCTCGCACTCTGGTCTCAAAGCCGGGAGAAAAGCGCTTTGGGGTGGGCCTCTCTCAGGGCCCATGGCCCTGAGCCTGGGGACCAGCTAGGGGGTCCACACTCCCAGGCCAGGGCAGAACCACATGCACACGTCTGTTCCTGCCCCCTGCCCCTTCAGAGAGCTCGGCTGAGCCGCAGTCTCTCAGGCAGTTCCCTGGCATCCCCGGCAGCACTGCCTGTGTGGGAAGCGGGAGAGCCGACCTAGGTGCACTGTGGGCCCCTTGCTCTCCCTGCTGCCCTGAGGCTGCTGGGCCAAAGAGGGCTTGGCTATCTACCCCCTTTCTCCCCTCTTCCCTCTGCCAGAAGGCTCTGCCCCCGGGGCTGTTGCAGGGTGGAGACAGGCCCTGCCAGCACCTCCACTCCCAGTAGGCCTCAGCAGAGGCCTAGGCCCAGGGAAAGGCCCAGGCAGGGCTGCGTTGAGGGAGGCGCAAGGGCATGTCTGGACACACTCCCCACAGCCTGTTCCTTCATGGGGCAGTTACCCTGGAGGCCAGGAAGGCCTGGGCAAGGCTGGCCAAGAGCAGGGGCATTGCTGGGTTCTGCCTCTGGCCTGTGGGGCCTCTGAGCAGGACCTGCCCTCTCCCTCTGGAAGACCTCCCCGCCTGCGTGCAAATCCCCGTTTGCAAGCACTCTGGCCGGGTGTTCCCGCAAGGCTCGCACTCTGGTCTCAAAGCCGGGAGAAAAGCGCTTTGGGGTGGGCCTCTCTCAGGGCCCATGGCCCTGAGCCTGGGGACCAGCTAGGGGGTCCACACTCCCAGGCCAAGGCAGAACCACATGCACACGTCTGTTCCTGCCCCCTGCCCCTTCAGAGAGCTCGGCTGAGCCGCAGTCTCTCAGGCAGTTCCCTGGCAGCCCCGGCAGCACTGCCTGTGTGGGAAGTGGGAGAGCCGACCTAGGTGCACTGTGGGCCCCTTGCTCTCCCTGCTGCCCTGAGGCTGCTGGGCCAAAGAGGGCTTGGCTATCTACCCCCTTTCTCCCCTCTTCCCTCTGCCAGAAGGCTCTGCCCCCGGGGCTGTTGCAGTGTGGAGACAGCCCCTGCCAGCACCTCCCCTCCCAGTAGGCCTCAGCAGAGGCCTAGGCCCAGGGAAAGGCCCAGGCAGGGCTGCGTTGAGGGAGGCGCAAGGGCATGTCTGGACACACTCCCCACAGCCTGTTCCTTCATGGGGCAGTTACCCTGGAGGCCAGGAAGGCCTGGGCAAGGCTGGCCAAGAGCAGGGGCATTGCTGGGTTCTGCCTCTGGCCTGTGGGGTCTCTGAGCAGGACCTGCCCTCTCCCTCTGGAAGACATCCCCGCCTGCGTGCAAATCCCCGTTTGCAAGCACTCTGGCCGGGTGTTCCCGCAAGGCTCGCACTCTGGTCTCAAAGCCGGGAGAAAAGCGCTTTGGGGTGGGCCTCTCTCAGGGCCCATGGCCCTGAGCCTGGGGACCAGCTAGGGGGTCCACACTCCCAGGCCAGGGCAGAACCACATGCACACGTCTGTTCCTGCCCCCTGCCCCTTCAGAGAGCTCGGCTGAGCCGCAGTCTCTCAGGCAGTTCCCTGGCAGCCCCGGCAGCACTGCCTGTGTGGGAAGCGGGAGAGCCGACCTAGGTGCACTGTGGGCCCCTTGCTCTCCCTGCTGCCCTGAGGCTGCTGGGCCAAAGAGGGCTTGGCTATCTACCCCCTTTCTCCCCTCTTCCCTCTGCCAGAAGGCTCTGCCCCCGGGGCTGTTGCAGTGTGGAGACAGCCCCTGCCAGCCCCTCCACTCCCAGTAGGCCTCAGCAGAGGCCTAGGCCCAGGGAAAGGCCCAGGCAGGGCTGCGTTGAGGGAGGCGCAAGGGCATGTCTGGACACACTCCCCACAGCCTGTTCCTTAATGGGGCAGTTACCCTGGAGGCCAGGAAGGCCTGGGCAAGGCTGGCCAAGAGCAGGGGCATTGCTGGGTTCTGCCTCTGGCCTGTGGGGCCTCTGAGCAGGACCTGCCCTCTCCCTCTGGAAGACCTCCCCGCCTGCGTGCAAATCCCCGTTTGCAAGCACTCTGGCCGGGTGTTCCCGCAAGGCTCGCACTCTGGTCTCAAAGCCGGGAGAAAAGCGCTTTGGGGTGGGCCTCTCTCAGGGCCCATGGCCCTGAGCCTGGGGACCAGCTAGGGGGTCCACACTCCCAGGCCAGGGCAGAACCACATGCACACGTCTGTTCCTGCCCCCTGCCCCTTCAGAGAGCTCGGCTGAGCCGCAGCCTCTCAGGCAGTTCCCTGGCAGCCCCGGCAGCACTGCCTGTGTGGGAAGCGGGAGAGCCGACCTAGGTGCACTGTGGGCCCCTTGCTCTCCCTGCTGCCCTGAGGCTGCTGGGCCAAAGAGGGCTTGGCTATCTACCCCCTTTCTCCCCTCTTCCCTCTGCCAGAAGGCTCTGCCCCCGGGGCTGTTGCAGTGTGGAGACAGCCCCTGCCAGCACCTCCACTCCCAGTAGGCCTCAGCAGAGGCCTAGGCCCAGGGAAAGGCCCAGGCAGGGCTGCGTTGAGGGAGGCGCAAGGGCATGTCTGGACACACTCCCCACAGCCTGTTCCTTCATGGGGCAGTTACCCTGGAGGCCAGGAAGGCCTGGGCAAGGCTGGCCAAGAGCAGGGGCATTGCTGGGTTCTGCCTCTGGCCTGTGGGGCCTCTGAGCAGGACCTGCCCTCTCCCTCTGGAAGACCTCCCCGCCTGCGTGCAAATCCCCGTTTGCAAGCACTCTGGCCGGGTGTTCCCGCAAGGCTCGCACTCTGGTCTCAAAGCCGGGAGAAAAGCGCTTTGGGGTGGGCCTCTCTCAGGGCCCATGGCCCTGAGCCTGGGGACCAGCTAGGGGGTCCACACTCCCAGGCCAGGGCAGAACCACATGCACACGTCTGTTCCTGCCCCCTGCCCCTTCAGAGAGCTCGGCTGAGCCGCAGTCTCTCAGGCAGTTCCCTGGCAGCCCCGGCAGCACTGCCTGTGTGGGAAGCGGGAGAGCCGACCTAGGTGCACTGAGGGCCCCTTGCTCTCCCTGCTGCCCTGAGGCTGCTGGGCCAAAGAGGGCTTGGCTATCTACCCCCTTTCTCCCCTCTTCCCTCTGCCAGAAGGCTCTGCCCCCGGTCCTGTTCCAGTGTGGAGACAGGCCCTGCCAGCACCTCCACTCCCAGTAGGCCTCAGCAGAGGCCTAGGCCCAGGGAAAGGCCCAGGCAGGGCTGCGTTGAGGGAGGCGCAAGGGCATGTCTGGACACACTCCCCACAGCCTGTTCCTTCATGGGGCAGTTACCCTGGAGGCCAGGAAGGCCTGGGCAAGGCTGGCCAAGAGCAGGGGCATTGCTGGGTTCTGCCTCTGGCCTGTGGGGCCTCTGAGCAGGACCTGCCCTCTCCCTCGGGAAGACCTCCCCGCCTGCGTGCAAATCCCCGTTTGCAAGCACTCTGGCCGGGTGTTCCCGCAAGGCTCGCACTCTGGTCTCAAAGCCGGGAGAAAAGCGCTTTGGGGTGGGCCTCTCTCAGGGCCCATGGCCCTGAGCCTGGGGACCAGCTAGGGGGTCCACACTCCCAGGCCAAGGCAGAACCACATGCACACGTCTGTTCCTGCCCCCTGCCCCTTCAGAGAGCTCGGCTGAGCCGCAGTCTCTCAGGCAGTTCCCTGGCAGCCCCGGCAGCACTGCCTGTGTGGGAAGTGGGAGAGCCGACCTAGGTGCACTGTGGGCCCCTTGCTCTCCCTGCTGCCCTGAGGCTGCTGGGCCAAAGAGGGCTTGGCTATCTACCCCCTTTCTCCCCTCTTCCCTCTGCCAGAAGGCTCTGCCCCCGGGGCTGTTGCAGTGTGGAGACAGCCCCTGCCAGCACCTCCCCTCCCAGTAGGCCTCAGCAGAGGCCTAGGCCCAGGGAAAGGCCCAGGCAGGGCTGCGTTGAGGGAGGCGCAAGGGCATGTCTGGACACACTCCCCACAGCCTGTTCCTTCATGGGGCAGTTACCCTGGAGGCCAGGAAGGCCTGGGCAAGGCTGGCCAAGAGCAGGGGCATTGCTGGGTTCTGCCTCTGGCCTGTGGGGCCTCTGAGCAGGACCTGCCCTCTCCCTCTGGAAGACCTCCCCGCCTGCGTGCAAATCCCCGTTTGCAAGCACTCTGGCCGGGTGTTCCCGCAAGGCTCGCACTCTGGTCTCAAAGCCGGGAGAAAAGCGCTTTGGGGTGGGCCTCTCTCAGGGCCCATGGCCCTGAGCCTGGGGACCAGCTAGGGGGTCCACACTCCCAGGCCAGGGCAGAACCGCATGCACACGTCTGTTCCTGCCCCCTGCCCCTTCAGAGAGCTCGGCTGAGCCGCAGTCTCTCAGGCAGTTCCCTGGCAGCCCCGGCAGCACTGCCTGTGTGGGAAGCGGGAGAGCCGACCTAGGTGCACTGTGGGCCCCTTGCTCTCCCTGCTGCCCTGAGGCTGCTGGGCCAAAGAGGGCTTGGCTATCTACCCCCTTTCTCCCCTCTTCCCTCTGCCAGAAGGCTCTGCCCCCGGGGCTGTTGCAGTGTGGAGACAGCCCCTGCCAGCCCCTCCACTCCCAGTAGGCCTCAGCAGAGGCCTAGGCCCAGGGAAAGGCCTAGGCAGGGCTGCGTTGAGGGAGGCGCAAGGGCATGTCTGGACACACTCCCCACAGCCTGTTCCTTCATGGGGCAGTTACCCTGGAGGCCAGGAAGGCCTGGGCAAGGCTGGCCAAGAGCAGGGGCATTGCTGGGTTCTGCCTCTGGCCTGTGGGGCCTCTGAGCAGGACCTGCCCTCTCCCTCTGGAAGACCTCCCCGCCTGCGTGCAAATCCCCGTTTGCAAGCACTCTGGCCGGGTGTTCCCGCAAGGCTCGCACTCTGGTCTCAAAGCCGGGAGAAAAGCGCTTTGGGGTGGGCCTCTCTCAGGGCCCATGGCCCTGAGCCTGGGGACCAGCTAGGGGGTCCACACTCCCAGGCCAGGGCAGAACCACATGCACACGTCTGTTCCTGCCCCCTGCACCTTCAGAGAGCTCGGCTGAGCCGCAGTCTCTCAGGCAGTTCCCTGGCAGCCCCGGCAGCACTGCCTCTGTGGGAAGCGGGAGAGCCGACCTAGGTGCTCTGTGGGCCCCTTGCTCTCCCTGCTGCCCTGAGGCTGCTGGGCCAAAGAGGGCTTGGCTATCTACCCCCTTTCTCCCCTCTTCCCTCTGCCAGAAGGCTCTGCCCCCGGGGCTGTTGCAGTGTGGAGACAGCCCCTGCCAGCACCTCCACTCCCAGTAGGCCTCAGCAGAGGCCTAGGCCCAGGGAAAGGCCCAGGCAGGGCTGCGTTGAGGGAGGCGCAAGGGCATGTCTGGACACACTCCCCACAGCCTGTTCCTTCATGGGGCAGTTACCATGGAGGCCAGGAAGGCCTGGGCAAGGCTGGCCAAGAGCAGGGGCATTGCTGGGTTCTGCCTCTGGCCTGTGGGGCCTCTGAGCAGGACCTGCCCTCTCCCTCTGGAAGACCTCCCCGCCTGCGTGCAAATCCCCGTTTGCAAGCACTCTGGCCGGGTGTTCCCGCAAGGCTCGCACTCTGGTCTCAAAGCCGGGAGAAAAGCGCTTTGGGGTGGGCCTCTCTCAGGGCCCATGGCCCTGAGCCTGGGGACCAGCTAGGGGGTCCACACTCCCAGGCCAGGGCAGAACCACATGCACACGTCTGTTCCTGCCCCCTGCCCCTTCAGAGAGCTCGGCTGAGCCGCAGTCTCTCAGGCAGTTCCCTGGCAGCCCCGGCAGCACTGCCTGTGTGGGAAGCGGGAGAGCCGACCTAGGTGCACTGTGGGCCCCTTGCTCTCCCTGCTGCCCTGAGGCTGCTGGGCCAAAGAGGGCTTGGCTATCTACCCCCTTTCTCCCCTCTTCCCTCTGCCAGAAGGCTCTGCCCCCGGGGCTGTTGCAGTGTGGAGACAGCCCCTGCCAGCCCCTCCACTCCCAGTAGGCCTCAGCAGAGGCCTAGGCCCAGGGAAAGGCCTAGGCAGGGCTGCGTTGAGGGAGGCGCAAGGGCATGTCTGGACACACTCCCCACAGCCTGTTCCTTCATGGGGCAGTTACCCTGGAGGCCAGGAAGGCCTGGGCAAGGCTGGCCAAGAGCAGGGGCATTGCTGGGTTCTGCCTCTGGCCTGTGGGGCCTCTGAGCAGGACCTGCCCTCTACCTCTGGAAGACCTCCCCGCCTGCGTGCAAATCCCCGTTTGCAAGCACTCTGGCCGGGTGTTCCCGCAAGGCTCGCACTCTGGTCTCAAAGCCGGGAGAAAAGCGCTTTGGGGTGGGCCTCTCTCAGGGCCCATGGCCCTGAGCCTGGGGACCAGCTAGGGGGTCCACACTCCCAGG